TTGAATTTTAGAAATTAATGATTTTTCAAATAGGAGTAAAAGTGTAATTTCCAAAAATTGAGCGGGGGCACGTGACCCTCCTGGTCCCAACGTGCCTCCGTCTCTGATTGAAGAATCTCTCAGAATTGAGTTGTGTCCACTGTAAACTTCTCTCTCTCTCTCTCTCTCTCTCTTATCTGGGTTCTTTTTTTTTGGGGTTTTCAGTTCAAGTTTTTGGTTCAAGATTTTAATCTTCATTTATTATTATTAATTTTAGTTATATATATTGTAGGTCCTCAATAGTTGCCATTGAAGAATCTCTGAGTTGAGCTGTGTTCGCTGTAAACTTCTCTCTCTTTTTTTATCTGGATTTCTTGTTTTTTTGATGATGTGTACAACTATCATGCCAAACCAGTATTGTATGTTGGTTTTCATCAATAAAGATTTATCTCTTTTTACCGACAAAAAAAAAAGATTTATCATGCCAAACCAGAATTGTATGTTGGTTTTCATCAATAAAGATTTATCTCTTTTTACCGACAAAAAAAAAAAAAAAGAAAGAAAGTTGTAACTAATGTGGGATTCCAACAACCCTTCCTAATTAGCTGCAACATACTTTTTAAAAATTAAAATGTTAAGTTACTTATAGTCTAACATTTAAGAAGAAAGGTTAAAAAAAGTGTACTTCTAACTTGAAATCCAATTTTACTAGAAGATGGTGACCAAAACAAAGAAAGATGCACTGGTCTGTTAAGAAGAGATGACAACTATAGGATTTGGGGTAACCACTGACCTATTGGACAGCTTGCCCAATTCAAGTTAATATTTTTAGGACTTAGAATAAGTATTTTGGTCTATAAAGTCAAATTGGGCCAAAATTTGGAACCTGTTTGCTTTTGGGTTGGGCTTAGAATGAGAAATTCTAGCCCAGTCTGGCCTATCTATTTATAAAATATTAATTAAAAATCTTATATTAAACATTTACAAAGGAACCCCAAAATCATCTACAAATGATTTATTAATGACTAAAATTCAAATAATCATTAAAAATGATAAATTAATATAAAGGAACCCCAAAATCATTTACAAATGATTTATTAATGACTAAAATTCAAATAATCATTAAAAATGATAAATTAATATATATCGAATTAAGGGAACTGACTTGAGACTTGAACTTAAAACCTAAGTATTATACTTCTTGAATTCACTCATATATGTATTAAGCTGTCCCACATGTTCTCTATGTATATTGATTGATTTTCAATTCATCTGTAGTGTTTGATGTAATTTATATTTTTGTTTGATGTAAAGTTCATTTGTAGAGTTGCTGCAGATAGGTATCCTCCTAATACTTGTTATATTTAAAGTATTGCATGGTACCTCAAATACATACGCATCTGCACATGCTGCATACGTTTGCAATGTTGATCTATATCTTTGCGTAGTATATGTATATAGGATTAAGTAGAAATAGTAAATAAATCACAAACAATTGACTCCTACAATGTAGGAGATAAAATCAAATAAAATTATGTTTAGTAAAATATTTTCTTACAAATATCAACTAAATTATTAAGTGTATAATTTTATAGGCTTTTGTTAACATATGTCCTAAGGGCACATGTTAAGAAAGTATTAAATATGTATAACTATCTCCATTAATAGAGGAAGTTGTAAAAACTTAAATAATGTCTACATCAAATAGTTGTTTTTTATTATAGCATCAAAACACCATTGTTGTTTTTCTTTTCATTTTAACTTTTTAATTTATTTATTTTTGGTATAGAAATAATTTTAAAAATATGAAAAAATCTTCTTCCTCTTCTTTTTCTTTTTTCTTTTTGTATTTATTTTTAATAAATTAATTTCTAAAATTTCAAAATAAAATTTGAAAACTCAACCAAACAAATATAATTTCCAACTAAAGTTCTTTCTAATTTGGAATAACCTATTATAAAAATATTGAAAGATACAGTACATAAAATTCAAAATAAAAAACAAAATAGAAGATAAATGGTGGATAATTGAATAACCATTTATCGGAAAAGTTTGTTGGATTTTAATATTACAATTTTAGTTCTTATTTATATATTTATAAATAATTTTTATCTTTTAACATTACACTATAATAGTTAAAAAGCTTACCATCAATTTCATACCTCAAGAATGAGGTATTTTTGTCTACATAAAAGAAGGGCTCAGCTATGGACTAGATTGTTGGACCCGTGGGGCCCACCATGGATTTTGTTTCAATGATCCAAATTGTTCAATGTGTAGAGCTCGTCGAGTAATTTATTCTTGTAAAAAATCACATTGATCGGATGTCGATAGCTTCTTGATTGGATCAGATTTTTGTAAACAATTTATTTTGAAAATTATATTTACCATTGACAAAAATCTGATCCGATCAAGTACTCAACGAGTTTTACATATTGAACGATTCAGATCATCGAAACGGAACTTGTGGTGGACCCCCACGGGCCCAACAACACGCTCCAATCCGATCACGAACTGGAGAGAAGTCAGGTTCTAAAAGAAAATATGAAATTTATTAACATTTTAGAAAACATTAAATGTATTTATACTTTTGTTCAACATTCCCCATGCTAGTGGAAGTAGGTAAAGTTAATTATTACTTTTTCAATATGTGCCCTAAGAGCACATGTTAACAAGACCCAATCTTATACTTGTAAGATTATCTTGATATTTTATAGTGACTTTTGCTTACACTTATTGTAACCATGTTAAATAGGTTTATCATTATATATTAATTTTTTTAAGTTACTTAATCATTTGCCCCATACCTTTTCCCCTTTCTCTATTGCTTTTTTCACTTAAGTCAGCTCATTGTTGACTAATTTCACCAATTTGGTGTTGTGCTAGCACATGATTGAGTTTGCTTTGTGGTGCCTTAGTCTTGCCATGATGCTCCTTACACTCACCTCCTTTGTTGATATATCCACCTATATATATAAAAAGCGCTATAACCTTCGTGGCTCATATTTTTTTTCCGATTTTACCCTTTTGCTTGGTTTTATTTATCAGTGGTTTACTTTAGTTTTCTCATTTTGGCTTTTTTTTTTTTAACTACTCATTTCATCATTCTCTTTTGCTTTTTTGTCTTATTAGAAATCCTTCAATAAATTTGCTTTGTTATTTTGAAATTGTATATTTTAGTTTTGTTTTGCGATAAGTGGTGGTGGTACCAACCATGGTTCCTATAGAACCAAGGGACAATTACAAAAAAAAACTCCAGGGTTTGACCATTATAACACTATAAATCCTAAGTTTTTAATTTTATCATTTAAATCCTAAATTTTTAATTTGTTTTCAATCTAAACCATTTGCCTATTTTTGTTAACTAAAACCGACGAAAAAATAGTATTTTAGCCATTAAACCTAATGTGGGTGTACATAAAATGTTTAAAATACCCATTTGTCGATTTTACTTAACAAAAATAGACAAATAGTTCAGCCCACAAAGCTTTATCTTCGGCCCTATACCTCTACCACCATTTCAGTAAAAGACTCTCATTTACCTCCCTTATCCTCCTAATGCCTAACCCTCCTTGATCTTTGTTCTTTGTCACTTCCACCCATTTGACCTTATGTACCTTTCTCTTCAGCTCTGAGCCACGCCACAAGAATGCAAAATTTAGAGTTTGGTGTCTTGCATCATAGATATGTAATATAAGATCAATTCCTTATTTTATCCTAAGGTTATGTTTGGTTCATGGATTTGGAAAAGGAAAAGATAGGTGAAATGTGAATGAAATATAACTAAATTTCACACATTTTTTTCCCCCTTTCCTTACCCAAATACATGAACCAAACACAACCTAAAAAGAAATCTAAGATTAGTCACAGCTTCATAGGGGTAGGCTATTGGTTAATTATGCCTTGCAAATTTTTTTTCTTGTTATATATTTTTATATATAAGAGGAGTTAAAAATTTGTATTTCCAGAATCAAATATTTTGGGAGTGAATGTGGGTCATAAAAAATCTTCCTTCGATTTTGACATATTGGACAATCTTGTTAAACTTAATTTATTTCATCCAAGTCTCAAATCTAATCTCCTATACTCTCAGTTTCACTTTGTGAGTTAGATTTTCTTGACTTCATTAGGTTCTAATATTTTATAGCTAAACTTCACCAGCATTATAATCTATTTAGAAAATTTTAAATTTGTGCAAACAAAGATGTAGCATGAAAAATATTTTAATGGCATAATTGATTAACTGGAAGTTTCATGATTATTATTATTATTGTTGTTGTTGTTGTAGTTGTAGTTGTTGTTGTTTTTATAACCTAATTTTTACATGACTCGTGATTCTTTGTTGACAAGTTCTATCTTTTTGTTGCACTTGGCTCAAAACACTAAAAGATTAGTGAATTCAACAAGATCAATTCATGATGTATATTTTTCATTTGTAATTTATGTCTTAATTAGTTTGTCAATATATATATTTTTTAATACATTGGAGGCCATAGCATTGGAGAAGGGAAATTTTGCCTATAGCAAGATTTCAACCCTTGTAGGAGAGTAACACCCTTGGCCATTGAATTGAACCCTCAAGTTTAAATTTACACTGTTACAGGTTGCTTTTGAATCTCTTTTAAAGAGGGCAAGGTTACAATGTCTCAATTCACGTTATGTTTAGCAAGGTGGAAGACATGTTTCTCTTTTATTTGCTATATATATACCAAAAGTTGGAATTAAGCATAATCAAACAATCATTATGCTAAGAGGTTGTTTGGGTTTTGACTTTTTACGAAATATCTGAAATGTTATACAGAGATAATATAACTCAAATAAAAGGTAACATGACCTAAATAAGATAAAATGATGTGACCCAAATAAGAGAAATATTTATAAGAGTTGTAATGTGACCTAAATAAATAAATTAAAAATGTGTTAACCTAGATTAACCCAAACAAGGCCTTAATATTATTATTGTAAACATAAAATACAGGAATACACAAACACAATAATAATAATAATAATAATAATAAAACCTGCTGCCGGTTGTACTGCTTAACCGCGATTTGAGCTATCCTTAAAATCTCAGGATGGTCTAAGGGTTTATACAGGGCACATCCACCAAGAAAGGGGCGACGGGAAGCCAAGCGAGGAACTATAATGTCCTGTTATTAAAAAAAAGCTCACAATCAATTAATCAATCACATACGATACGATACGATACGATACAATAATAACAAACAATAATATTGGGCAAGGGAGTGTGAGTGTGTGTGGGTTAGAGTCTAGGGATAGAGAGACCTCAAACAGAGGATAATGGTCAGTACGCGGCAAAGAGGAATACAACTGGGGTTTGAAAGCGCTGCTGGCAAACCAAAATCCAAGCTTTGGATTGACATACCCAGTTTTGATTCTCACCGTCCTCTCAAGAACAAAACGCAGAGCCATGGGGTTTTAGTTTGATTGCGCTGTGGATATACCCTGCAGATTAATGGTACTGGAGATGAAAACGGGGCAGTCGGCGGCTAGGGTTCCTGCCTGCCCACAACACTGTAAAGTTATTTACCTGACCTGTTATTATCCAATCCGATGTTTGTTTAATAGCCTTAGCCTACTCACAGATTGGATTCTCTGCCCTCGGAGCATTGGCGTGAAGTGATGAACTTTCCCCAAATTGTCCCCAGTTTGAAGGAGACGGAGCATGTGAATCTGGTTGTTTTGATTTGGGATGATTCAACCCTACCTTGGCTTTACCTTTGTGATTCTTAGCGTGGGTTGGGCCTATTGTGTGACTGGACTCTCCTTGGTCTTTGTCAGCACCTGGTCCATTGTTTTTCTCATGGAACTTACTGATAAGTCCCATGTATAAAGTTCAAGATCCATCTAATCTTTAAACAAAACACTTATACCAATTAGTTCAATGTATTTTTAATTATTAACAAAAAATTCTTTTTTTTTTTAATTTACAGACACTATTCACATCTTACTACCATCAGACTTCTGTCAAACGGTCGCCGGAGACTCGTTGGAATGTTCAACATCGTCGGAAAGTCGCCGAAGTATTACCAGGAAGTCGCCGGAGTTTCGCTAGAAGTTCACCGGAGTGTTAAGAACGTTAATGAAAGTCGCTGGAATGTTCAGAACGTTCACTGGACGTTAAGAACATCACTGGAGACTCACCGGAATGTCTAGAATATTGTCGAAAAAAAAGAAGAATAAATGGAGAAATTAGAGCAAAAAAAATAGCAAAATGTGCTAAATATTGATAAACTAAAAGAGAAAAAAAATGAAACGACAAAAAACAGCAACAATGGGAAAAACATATGCTATTTTTCAATTTTTGTAAGGTTCAAGTAAATTATAGCGATCCCAGGTTTACCCTTGTTGTATAGTGATCCGGACATGTGTCCGTGGAGGTTGGTAGTTGTTTATTATCTTGTTTACATCCTTTCTTACTTTGTATTATGTGATTGTATCAGTGTTGACCAACTATCAATTGCTAATGTTTTAGTCATTGTCCATGGTTGGTTTAGTGTATTTCTACTGGGCTGTGGCTCACCCTATATGGGAATATCATTTTCAGGTACAGGAAGCATGCCACCTCCAAGGACATAGCTTGGAAGGCTAGAAGCAGACATAGTGTAGTGGTTTTACTTTTGATGTATTACATGTAACTTCAAGCCAAGGGCTTAATGTGTAAACGAGTTAGTACTCTTTTGTTGAAACCAAGTGTTAACTTGGAAAGCTGTAAGCCCGTAGGGCATTTTGTTTTGATGTTAACATGTAATACTTATGTAATGAAACTCAATGAAATAAAGGAATGTGTAACAAGCCCGCGGGGGGACCTCGCTACAGCTCGGACTCGACTTTTCGTAGTCACGGTTCTAAGTCTGAACCAAAGAGTCCAAATTTTGCAAGGTTCAAGCAAATAATTTTCAATATTGATCAAACTGAAAAGTAAGTTACAGTTTCAAAGCAAAAACCTATTAAGTATTTATCCTTATTAATCAAACTGGAAAACATGTTATGAAATTGTAAAATTTTATAATTCTAAAGAATGTTATAAAACTGCAAAATTTTACAGTTTTATACCATGATTCATTCCAGCACCAAAAAAATTTTGAAACTGCAAAATTTTACAATTTTCACTACCTGTAACTAAAACTCGAAAACTACTTGTTCAGAATTTGAAAATTTTCTCTATTAGACCAGAAAAACAGAAGCGTATGGCAGAGAAAAAAAAAAAAGAGATCGAAGGAGAAAGGCGGATGTAGAGAGAAGATTGTACTCTGGCAACTATTTTTTGTTTAGATCTAGCCAAATCTGATGTAGATCTACTCAGATCTGATGTAGATCTGAGTAGATCTACATCAGATCTAAGTAGATCCACTCATCTTCTTCGTCGGAAATATATCATCTTCGCCGTCGGTGAAGGTGAAGTCACGAGTTGATTTCGATGGTTGGTGGTTATCGGTGAACCCTGATCAATGGAGAAAGACATGATCACCGGTCGTCGTCCATGGCAAAGACGATGAGAGAAAAATGCAGAAAAAAAAAGAGAGAGGAAACGTAAAGAGGGAGACAAAAAGCAGAGACACGGAGAGAGAGAGAGAGAGGGGAAATGACTTTTGGGTCTACTCAAAAAGTTACAGGATTAAATGGTGTCCATATGTTCCACATAGGACCTGTGGGTAATTTCCCATTTTTCTTATCCCTCTGATTGTTTCCTGGGCTGTCTTGGGCCTCTTCCAAATACGTGAATGGATTCCTGGTGGTAACTGGGCCAGATGAGTCTTAGGCTTTTTTGGACTGCGTTGGTTTTCTAGCTCTTTTATTCACAAGCATCCATGGGCCATATGTTTCATCATCAAGAGATATAATCCAAGAATTTTCAATTAAAGTTGTCCATGACATTGTTGAATCGGCTTCAAATTCTGTAATCAAGGCGGTGATCTCTTCGAGTAAGTTCATAGTCCTGTGTTTTAGTTTTAAATTGATGGCTTTGTCCTCTTCTGTTGTCCAATTGAACAAAATGCGATTATTTTTTATTCTTTAAAAAATTAAAAAAAAATTTAGTTGAATTTGTGGTTTTGGCTCATGTGTTTGATGGGTTGGTTTCCTTTTATGTTTGTTGTTTTTTGGTCCATTTTACTCTTCTATTTGAGTCAATGAATCAATGTGCATTAGTGTTAGGTTGAATAGTCCTTAATTTTTTGTTTTGTGGAAAAATTTAGCACCAAGTTGAACCTTTGATTGTTAGTTGAGGAATGGAACTGACCACAATGTTACGGTTTGGTTTTGTTGTTTAGTTTCATATGAAAATGAATGAATGAAGATGTATGTATATCTACATTTGATTCTGTGATTTGTATCTATTTTTGATGAACAAAAACTTAAGGATTTGTGGCCAATCTGTAGATGGCATTTTTTGTAAAGCATATTGATATAGTTATGTAGCCTGAATCGATAATAGGAAGGTATTCCATGCTTTAAGATTATTCATTTTTACTTGAGGTCATAGAAACATTACAAACATTATCAAATGCTTATGTCAAAATTTTAGTGGTTGCATTCATGTAATGTCATAATCTCACACCATAGGGATGATATAACAGGACCCATTTGGCCTAAACACAAATTAGTTGGTAATATTCTTTGTGACAAATTGAATTTTTTTTTTTTTGGTATAGTTTTTTCATGGATTTAATTCATTATCTCAGCCTTATAAATTTCATCCTATACTACATATTTGTCTGGAAGCATAATTTGATGAATATACTTGTTGTAGCAATTATATTTAACTTCTATGAGTTATCTATATAGTTTTGACAAACATAGTATATTTATTATATACAACATATATTACTTTCTAAGTATTTTTAACATTTAACAATCATAAACAAGCTTGTCTATGTTTGGCAGATACATCGGTACCAATACAAAGTATAAATTGCACAAAGAGTAAAAACTATGAAATCAATATCTATAACTATGATTTTACTATGTTCAAATACATTAAATATTGGACTAGATACTTTCTCAATCAACCTACTTTTGTATATGAGATGATGCAGATGCAGAAGAAGTTGCAAAGGATGAGGTGAACTTGGAAGAATTTGTGTTGTAACTATAGCTTGAAGAATGAAGTTGGCTGCTATTACAAACAGAAGTAGAGCCATAGGTTAAAGAAACCAAAGATGAAGAAGTATTCATAGGAGCAAAATATGTTGCCACGGGCATTTTTATTGGGAGAATGGGCGGTGGAGCTTCAAAATTAAGTTTGGTGCCACATCAGCAAATTCTGTTTGATTGTAAACGGAATGCAGCGGTAGGGGTCAAATTGATTAAAATTTCGTAAGTTTGGGGTGGCAAATTAATATTATATGAAATCTGGGGGCCAAACTGAAAAACTCATGAAAGTTTGGGGAGCAAAATAATATTTCCTTTTATCTTATACCTATACTTTTTGGAATTAAATGTTAATTATATGTTGGATTTTAACAAACTAAACCATTTAATGAATTTTTTCATTATTTTAAATTAAAAATAATTTTTTTTACTAGCGTTCCAAACTGTACCTGTACAATACTTTTTGGGATTAATTATATCGACATAGCCGTACCTATGCTTCATAGGTCTCAAATTATCGTAAGTAAAACTAATTGAGCCGAAAATTTCTTGACTACTCTCTGTGTGTATAACTAGTTTATTTCTCAAATTAATTTCAATGGAATTGATCGACTAATAGTAATTTCAAAATTGAGTGGATAAAAAAAATTTAAAAGTCAATTACTTTCTAAAGAATGCTAATATGACTAATACTCAATTTTTTTATTTAAAATTTTATTTTTTTCATTTTTCAGATAAAAAATTATTAATTAAATATTAAAAAAATTAATATTTTGGGGCAAATTGATTTTTAAGATATAGTTAGAGGTAAAATGAAATTCTAAATGAATTTTGGTATCACGTCAGCAAGTCTCGTTTGATTGTAGACAAAAATAGACAGTGGGGGTTTAAATTGATCAAATTTAAAAAAAAAGTTTAGGGGTCAAATTAAAATAATGCGAAGTCTGGATGCCAAATTGAAAAATGCGTAATAGTTTGGAGGAAAAAAATGATATTTCCTTTTTGAAAAGTATACATTATTTATAGTAATAATTAGGGTCAGGCTTCTCTTTAGTCTGAGATTGGACTGGAGCGTGATGTTGGGCCTGTAGAGGCCCACCACGAGTCATTTTTCAATAATTCGAACCGTAAAATGTGTAGAACTCGTCGAGTACTTTATTTCTGTAAAAAATCACGTTGATCGGGTATTGATAACTACGTGATCAAATTAGATTTTTGTCAACGGTAAATATAATTTTTAAAATAAATTATTGACAAAAATCTAATTCAATAAACGTGATTTTTTAGAAAGACAAATTACTCGACAAGCTCTACACATTAAATGGTTCAGATCATTAAAACACGACTCGTGGTAGCCCCACGGGCCCCACAGTTAGAGAGAAGCCTCTCCTTTATAATTATTATAAGAAGCATTATATTACTTTCTAAGTATATTTA